GAGTTTGTTAGCCCCCCCCCCCCCGACCATGTCAATAAACACATTGCTCATCTGTAAGATGACTACTGGAATTTCCCAGAGCAGAGTAAAAACTAGTAAAAGGCAACCAACCAATCAATCAAAAAGTCAGGCTTTGCTGTTAATTTAAAAACAATTAAAGTGCTCTAAAATAAACTAAACCAAACATAAAAAGTGTCCTCAAGAAAGCGGAGAGCACAGTTTATTAGGGTTAGTCTGTGCGTGTGTAGGCATATTTGTGGGAGAAACTCGAGCTTTGACAGCTGGCTTGATAAGAAGGCCTTGCCTCCCAAATACAGAAACCCCAGTACCATCCTTTTCTCTAAGAATGGCTCAGCTTGGCCTGACGTCTTCCTTTGACCAGACCCCAAGAATGCAATGTTCAGACCATAAATGGGTCCCCCCCTTGATTCATTCCTATTTACTTCCAAAGAAAGCACGAGTCGACAATGCTCTGGTATAGATGAAAAAAACAAAAAAAAATCTCCCCGAAGGCCCTCAGAGAACAACCTAATTTGGCTTTTCTTAAGTGAAACCAGGGGAGGGAGAGGATCCATGAGCTCCTTCCTGGGACCAAGAGGGACTCTAATGAAGAGCTTGGAGGCCTCCAGAATCAACTCACAGAGACATCCAGGACCACATTCAAACTCGCGGCCTTTAGGCGGGCTGCAAGTCTCACGTTTTTGGTGCTCAGACAGGTTTGGGTTCTATGAAGCTCCATGGGACTCTGAACTGCAGGACTCCTCAAAAGTCTCCTTGCACATCCATTTCCCTTTGGTTCCCTGTGGGCAGGTCTGGATTTGTTTATTCATCCTCCTCTCCCCAGGGCCCAGCCAAGGCTGTGTACACTGCAGGAAGTTTCTCACGGAAACGAACCCGCTTCCAGTTCTCGCCCTGCCTTTCTTGGTCCAATCCTGGTATGTTTCCGTGCAATGGGTGTCTCCAAGAGGAACAGGTTGCAAACGATCTCCCAAATCCTCTTTCTCATCAATCCATATCTCAGAAACTGTTGCCAGCATTGGAATCTTGTGAAACAAAGCGTGGAAAACATAACCTTCCAGTCACCTCTGGGCCACATCAGGAAGTCGCTGGAACCACAGAAGGGACATGGGGATAGGACCGGCCAGGACACACCTCTGGGGAAAGTCAGGTTTGGAACCCCGAGAGCTTCCCATCCTTGATACTCTTGCCAACAGATTTAGTTTCTAGATGATTTTAGTAAAACCCTTAAAAAAGCTTCCTGAATAGACCCTGAAGAATGTGTGAGCCAGGGCAAGGGAGCAGGGAAGA